CGAGAAAAACCACACCCCCCCCCCCCGCCATGTTCTTGGCAGAGAGCAGCACGTGTACCGCTTTTAAGTGGTTTGCATATCACCAGTGGTACACCACAGTTTGGGAACCCCTGGTATAGTATAATTATATTTCTACAATCACGTGACCTCACATTTTTAAATAATACATAAGCACAAGGGATCAAATTGAGTTTTTTACCTTAACTTTCATATTTCCTGACCTTTGAGTGCTTAGCTGTGCAACCGTAATATTGCATTAAAATATTCTGAAGCTTTGAATTTCTAGGATGGAGACCAGAAATAGAATAAAGGGGAATTAGAGATGTGGGTTATAGGAGAAAAGAAAATAATACAAAGCAAGACATAAAAAGGAGAGGTTTTTTTGCGTTTTGTTAGCATAAATACTGCTGGGGTAATATGCAGGAGGCAGGGTTTAGGAAGAGTGGGCAGGTGATTTAAAAAGTACAGTTCAGTAAAGTCAGATAAGTTTTCCTAGTATGAAGTTGGTGTAAAATTAATAAGAGGAAAACCATACATGCATACTGAAATTGTAAAACTGTGTGGTGCTTAAATGTGGTTTGCTATTTTGATATTTGAAAGCTACCGCAGTTAGAATATCTGCATAACTAGTATTAAGGAAAAAAAACCTGAGATTTAAATTCTGTAGCTAGAAACGTGGGGCATCCCAGCTACTGAGAATTGACTGAGGAAGTGCTAATACTTCCTTAGCTGCCTAATAGCTGCGAGTATGCATGACTGTGGCTTATTTAGCAGCCTGCTGGTATTGGGAGTGTTTGCCTGCACCTGCTGCCTTACGGTGGAAAAGGGAGTAGGTTTTGTGCTGTTCCACAAAAAAAGAAATTCGAATTAATACACACAATCTCCACTCCTAAATACAAAACGTCCCCTCCCTCCCTCCCAGCAAAACCCAAAGAAACCCTTTGACTTAAGAGTTCCCAACGTGCTATTTTAGAGGCAAGAAAAGGAGGATATAGGATGCAAACTCCTTGAGCAAAATAAGTGGGAGATGCCTGAGGGTGGCTTGAAGCAAGCTGGGGCCTCTGGGGAGGCGTTGCCTGTTGTCCGCACTGGAGCAATTCTGCGCTGATGCCACGGAGCACTCTTAACAGCCTAGCTGAGTTTCAAAGTTTGATCCAGGTCCCCTCTGAAGGTGATCGCGTAATCTTGCCTTGCAGCTGTTCTGTTGCCTACCTATTTCTAAGGCTAGTTCCCTATTGATAAAGTAGTTGGAATACTTAACTTTTTTTCTCCTGGTAGCTGTCAATTTGATTGTCAATTTGAATGGGGAAACATTTCTTTCTGGCGGTTTTGATGTCCATGTAGAAAATATTCATTCTCAGTTGCTTCCCATTCAAGTTAACTTGCTTAATTGAATTGAACTTTTACATGAAATATTGTGCTTTTTATTTGCTAGGTTCTCTCCTATGGGTGTAGATCACATGAGTGGGCTTTCTGGTGTAAATGTTCCAGGAAACGCATCTTCTGGCTGGTGTATCTTCATCTACAACCTTGGTCAAGATGCTGATGAGGGAATCCTCTGGCAGATGTTTGGCCCCTTTGGTGCGGTTACCAATGTGAAAGTTATTCGAGATTTCAACACCAACAAGTGCAAAGGTTTTGGTTTTGTGACCATGACAAACTATGAAGAAGCTGCAATGGCCATAGCAAGTCTTAATGGCTACCGCCTGGGGGACAAAATCTTACAGGTTTCCTTCAAAACCAACAAGTCCCACAAATAACTTGCTCGTGCGTTTTGTATGGAATAGATAATTGAGTGACAGAAGTTGAAACATTTTTGTTAGTGTAAAATTCATTTTGCGCCAATTTTCACAAGTGTTTGTCTTAGTCTAAATGAGAAGTGAAAAAGGTTTTATATTCTGGGATGCAACTGACATGTTCAAATGTTTGAAATCCCACAATGTTAGACCAATTTTAAGTTCCTTTAAGTTATTCATTTAAAACATGTTAAAAATCCCCTGAAATCTTAACTAGATTGCATTAACTAGACCCTCTGGATGGTGGTAAAATTGAAGCATGCTTTCACTTATGAGACTAACATTTGTTCCATTGAATGTTGTCTGCAAAAACTGGAATTTTCTGAAAAATATCAGGCTGAATTCATTAATTTTCTTGTTTTTTATGTTGTTGTTTTTCCTACCCATTCCCCTGACCTTCTCTACCCCAGACTCAGTAGTATGGAAGAAAAGTTGAGAAATACTAATGTTTTAGTTGACAGTAAATTGTTTGATCAATTAATATTCATTACTACATATATAGTTGAGGATTAGGCTTTTTAAAGTCAAGGTCTTGTAAGTAGTAGCATGCCAGCATAACTTTTAACACCATTGATGAGGTAAGTTGCACACTGAGCAGTGGCCAAGCTGTCAAATTCAAAGGTTTTAGAAACATTACTTTTAAAGCCCACTTTCTAATAGGAATGGACCAAAGAGTTTCAAAGAAACTCCGGGAAGATTTCAGAGTCAAAATGAAACTCCAGAAAGAGGATGTGAATATATGTTGCTACTTTATCAAACTGAATCTCTTCTGTCCAAATATTTAATGCATGGTGCACTACTTACTGGTACATTATAATGCAGCAAGATACTTACTCATTTTCAAAGATCATTATAGTTTGAATTCCTTTGGTAGTTCTATTTTGTAAAGAAAAAAGTTATAAACATTTGAGCATTGTATTTCTCGCATCCCTTCTAATGAGTGCTAGATTTTTCTATTTTAATAGGATTTTGTTTTGACAACTAGCTTTACTTATTGAACACTCAGCAGAAAAGTACTTACTACTTGCAAGTTAGATATTAACAAAAACCCCTTTGATTTGTAGATTTAAAGATTAATCCCCCAAGTCTTCTGCAGACTGCCTTGAAACTTTGAGTTGTTCTGTTTCTGTTAATTTTCTTTTGCTTTTTTGTGTTTTTTGTTTGTTTTTACTTTTGCATTTAAGAACATTAAATTTGATTTTGTTTTGCTCAAATTTTGTTTTGTTTTTTATTTTCTGTTATTTTTTTGCTAAGTATTGCACAAAGTGTCCAGCTTTCAAAGAGTGTTGTTTTAAAGAACTATAGTTCCTCTTTAAGAGTTTTAAGTTACTCCTTTGACAGATGAGTAGAAGAAAAAGGGTTGTGAAACAAGAGCACTACAATAAATCTGTCGCATAGAAACTGTGTGCCACAGACTGATGTAACCCTGCAGGTGTTCTTTGGTAGGAAACCTGAAAAGGATTACTCTATCAGGTAAAGGCTGTGAAAGGATACTGTGCACGACTAGAGACTTGGCCTGGGCGACTTTCGGGTCTAGTGTTCATGTTCAGTTGCCAGAAGGTAGAGCAAACGCGAAAATGGGGAGAGTGGCAGTTTTATTGCAGTGTCTCCTTTTTTTGTGTGAACCTCTACCAGTCCCAAAGTTTATTTTCAAATTCCAGAGGCCATTCCATGCCGCCTGCTTGTATCACTCCATCCCTAGCTGATCTTGCCCTGTGTTTGCAATTACTTCTCCTCTTCCTGTAATAGGATCTGCAGTCTTGCACAGCCCGAAGAAGTCTGCATCAGCATCTCTGCACGCCGCTGCTGAAGGGTGGCTGAACTAGCTGCCCATCTCCATTAATTACCTTCAGCACTGTCTAGGAAATGCTGTTGCTGATATTTCTGGAACTGCCATGGCATAATTAAAGCCGTATAGATAGGCCTTGGCGGAGTGAGCAGCCTCCCATTGTTTTTGAGCTTGTGTGCAGTGAATATAAGTGGGATTTTTGCTATTAATACATTCAGCCTTGCCTTTCATGCCAGTCCGGTTCACTCTACCATCTTTTGAGAAGCACGGTGGTCTGTAAAACGGTGGCTGTGACAAAGCAACCAACCAACTCCAACCCCGCAAAGAGTGCTTTCCAGCTGTCTATTCCAGTGTCTATTCCAGATATTTCCACCAATTTATCATCACTCATTTATCACTTCAACAAATACTACTTTTCTGTGTACAAGGAGAGATTCAGAAGCATTCGGGGGATTTCTCCCAAGTTAAAACTGCATAGTACAGAGAAGTCCTCTTACTGTGTCCCATCACCTCTTAACCTCACACTATGCTGTTCCACAGGAGTGGGTCTGTAGTCGTTTCCAATTTCCTGTCAATTCTCTCTTGCCTTATTTCATATAAGATTAATTTCCAAACTAATTGGGAGTTGCTGTTTTATCACAGCATTTAGATGGGGGTTCAGACTTCCAACGAATGACACCCTAAATATGACTTTGCATCAGTAATCATTACAGGCATGCTGGCCATTGCAACCATATCAGCAGCACACTGCTGTGAGTTCACTAGCTGTCATGTTTTTTAAAAACTTTCCTTGGAGGCTTTTTGGCATCACTGTCATCTGACTGCTTCCCTATTTTTCCATCTCTTGTTCTTTGCTAAATAAGAAGGAATATCCTGCATGGATACTGTTTCAGTAGTGGTATGAAACCATCTCTTTTAGGAAACATCTGATCCCAGCTTCCTTTGATAGTTGCTCTGAAAATAGTTACCAGGCAATTTACATGAGCAAAGCACTGCTGCTTGAGTCAGGAAAAGAGGGGAAAAAAAAAATCCTGCTAAAATATCAAGAGCTGATATGAGAAGTGGTGTATGGTCTGCACCATTCTAACAGTCAATAAATACTTGGCATAAATAGCTGAAGTCAAGAAAAAATTGTGTATGTATTCTTGATGCTTTTGGTCCTAAACAATAGTCCATGCATCCTACTAGTAAATACAGAAAGGAAACTTCTGGAAGTGGAAACTAAACTCTAACAATAAGTAATCTCCCAGCAGCTTTTCTACGCAAAAGGTATGAGCAACTGGTTTCCTTATGTCACCCAGCATACCCTCCTCTGAAGCTCTCCCTTGAACATACCTGTTTCAAGAGAGGTTTTGGCCTCTTAATCCTCAGGGAGTTTAGAGAAACTGCGGATGCGTTCTGCTTTTTCATCCTTTAATTTGAGGAAATATAGATGTTTCTTTCAGGTGACCCTTCTGTCTCAGTCAGTGCTTACAAGATCTTTGTAAAACCAAAGGCCTGTCTCAATCCAGAGGTCCTGTACATTTCTCATGAGATGCAGTAGGCTCAATAAGGTAGAGAATACTAGAAAGTCTTGGTTGCTCGATTAGGACGTGATGATCAGATTTTAAAGACCTGGATTTGATGGTCCATACTGGAGATGTGCTACAGGGAACAGCTGCGATGGTGAATGTTTTGGGGTCCTTTAGAATAAGTGAGAAGCCTTGCAGGACACCCCCAGATACCTGCTTCTGAAGGATCAGGTATAATTCCTGATGAAAACACATAGTTATGGCCATGCTGCTATTGCAGGGTCCCGTGTGTAGATGTTGAAGAGAATTATGATGTCTCAGGGGATGGGGCATGTTTTTTGTGCCAGCATTTCTGAAGGGATCGATCCAGCTTTCATGAACCTGCAATTTGGGCAACACCATTTCCTTTTTACACTTATTTGATCAGACAAATATGGTGACAAAATGAGAAGTTTATCTGCCTGTGTTTAAAAAGAAAAGGGGAGAGGAGGCTTTTTCATCAATCTCCTTATGGTCAGGGTAGCTAGCCTTAGAGCTGAAGATCTGCCAATTGGGAATACAAACAGGAAGACCAGTGATACTGTTGTCAGGCTTCAGCTGGGGTCTATTTTCAAATGGACCTGTTTGCTTTGTGTCCAAAACTCACTTGCTTTCACGAAGAGAGAACTTGTTTGCATGTGAATGCACTTCAGCAGAAACTGGCCTTTGCTTCTGTAGCTTTTTCCGGCGGTGAGTCACCCTGGGTTTTCACTTCGCTGGCTGTGAGCCATCTCGTTTGGAAGGCAGTCTGCAAATCGGTCACCTTTGAGCCTTGGCTTCTGTGGCTTACTATGCAAAGGCAGGATCATACAGCGGGGACTTGATTAGCCTTCAGGACTTTGAATGTTAAGCCAATTATCTTTTTCAGGAAATTTTACCAGCTGTTGAATGTCTGGTGTTACTTTAATTATTGCTTTGTCACTTTTAGCTTTAGAATCACTTTGTTTTATCTTGGTATTCCTTTTGAGAGGGAAGCTCTGCTGCCCTTACTTGGTACCTATCCTCTTCTCCACTTTTTTCAAATACTTGTTGTATCTGGCACTCCAGGAAGGCTCTTACCAGGCCAAGGCATGGCTGTTAAACACGCTTGTTGTGGGGCTGCTTCCAAAATTGCACATGAGCAGTCTTCATTCTTTGCAAGACTGTGGAGTTTCACTCTAAAATGAGACAATGCCTAGTTAAGAGCAAAACTGTCCTGATTGTGGTTGAAGACCACCTCTAAACTTCTCTGAAGATGTTCTGGGCTTTAGTTGTGTTGTACAGAATAAAAAAAAAAAAAATAAAAAATCAGGTTTTCTTACTATGTAAAAAATTTGAGTTTTGTCAAAATTAAAATTCCTTGAAGGCTTTATTCAGACTTGTTTTTTTCCAGTCTGTTGATTTATTAGTAAGCTTTTATTCCTGCTCAGTAACTTACGTTTGCTTCCCAGATTTCTACTATGAATGGAATTCACTCCTGTGCAGAAAGCTAGCCACAAACCTAATCACAGTTTAAACCTTCGGTTACCCATTTGCAGATAGGGAAATTTCACAGTAAATACAGAAAAGGAAATTCTAATGTTGCTGTGTGCTTTGTATAAGCTGGCAGAGGCAAGTACAGTTCCTTGAGATGAGGAGATGGCAACATCAGAAAAGCTATAAACATGAGCAGAATCAACGCAGCTTAGTGTGTTTAGTTCTCTTGTGATTCCATTTTAGATGGTGTCTGTATACTAAAGTGTTGATTTATTTTGTTCTTCAAGCTACATCATCATAAAGTTTGGTTTACTTGAGATGTTGTGCTCTACTTTTCTGTGTAGAGGGAGGAGAACCGAGCCAATGCAGTTAATGTTGCCTCCTGTGCCGAGCTTGTGCCAATCCTTTCACTTCTGCTCTAGATCTGGGACTGAGGAGGACTTGGGGATCCATCTTTTAGGGTGGAAGGAGAAGTCAGGAAACACCACTGTCCAGAACAGCGTCCCCATAGTGGTGTGTGTCCACACATCTTTTTCCTTCCCTCTGGTTGGTTATGTTTTTTCGGTACATCTGTATCATGATAGCATGAAAACCACTGAAAATTCAGATGCACACACATCACTAAAGTAGGATAAACTTCTCACTGCAGGGAGTACTAGTTGGTCAGTTTGTGGTCACTTACACTTGTCCAGATGACCAAAGGGTGTCAGTATGGAGAGGGCACCTCTTTTTGTAGGGGCATTGAATGTTGTAGTAATGTTTACACAAAGCAATTAAAAATCTTAAAAATAAATAAATAAAAAATTGGCATAGCTACATTTATAGAAAGAATGTTCAGCAGTTAAAACCAAAATGATGACATAACTGTAAAGGTGATCCATTATTTTGAATGTTAAGTTTTGGAAATGAATAGTCCCTAAGGTCCTTAAACATTTATTATAATTTTATGTTGCTTTAATGTTCTGGGTAAGGTCAATAAAGTAGAGATTCTTCAAATATTTCAGGAGAGATTTTTTTCAGTGTATTCTAAACTGTCATAACTAAAGTTACTCTTTTGGATAGTTTATAGTTATTTACGTGCTTTTAAGAAAAAAAAAAAAACTTGGAGAATGTCCCCACGTTTAATTTTTCAACAAAATAAACAGGTCATCTTAAAAATAAATAAATAAAAAATTGGCATAGCTACATTTATAGAAAGAATGTTCAGCAGTTAAAACCAAAATGATGACATAACTGTAAAGGTGATCCATTATTTTGAATGTTAAGTTTTGGAAATGAATAGTCCCTAAGGTCCTTAAACATTTATTATAATTTTATGTTGCTTTAATGTTCTGGGTAAGGTCAATAAAGTAGAGATTCTTCAAATATTTCAGGAGAGATTTTTTTCAGTGTATTCTAAACTGTCATAACTAAAG